CCTCTGAAAACTGGCATGTTGACCTGATTTCTGACAAGTTGGCCGGGAGGTCTGGGGGTAACTATAGCCCTCCGGCTATCCAACCCGATCACTGTCGTTTCGAATCCGATGTTGCATTTGGGAATAAAACGCCCATGAAATGGGAAAATGTGCCCTTATTATTATCAGGTCATTAGTTCCCTTATTATTATAAGGTCACATTTTCCCTTTTCAGAGGCCTTTTATTTCCAAATGCAACATCGGATTTGAACGAGAGTGGTCGGAATGGATAGCCGGCGGGCTGTAGTTACCCCCAAACTTACGACCCTCAGGGGATAACGAAGGTTTATTTTTTAATATTTTTTTTAAAACCCAAATGCAACATCGGATTTGAACGAGAGTGGTCGGAATGGATAGCCGGCGGGCTGTAGTTACCCCCAAACTTACGACCCTCAGGGGATAACGAAGGTTTATTTTTTAATAATTTTATAGAGACAGTCGAAAATGTCCACATGTTAGGCGTTCAGATCAACTTTTCGGGAAGAAGGTCATATTTTCCTTTTTCGGAGGCCTTTTCCTCCCAAATGCAACATCGGATTTGTACCAGAGTGGTTGGGTTGGATAGCCGGGGGGCTGTAGTTACCCCCAGACCTAGGGCCCACACGGGATAACGAAGGTTTATTTTTTAATAATTTTATAGAGACAGTCGAAAATGTCCACATGTTAGGCGTTCAGGCCAGCTTTTCGGGAGAAGGTCCTCTTTTCCCATTTCAGGGGCGTTTTATTCCAAAATGCAACATTGGATTCGTACCAGACTGGTCGGGTTGGATAGCCGGGGGGCTGTAGGTACCCCCAGACCTACGGCCCTCACGGGATAACGAAGATTTATTTTTTAATATTTTTTTTAAAACGGTCGAAAATGTCCACGTTAGGCGTTCAGGCCAACTTTTCGGGAAAAGGTCATATTTTCCCTATTCGGAGGCCTTTTATTCCCAAATGCAACATCGGATTCGTACCAGACTGGTCGGGTTGGATAGCCGGGGGGCTGTAGGTACCTCCAGATCTACGGCCCTCACGGGATAACAGTTTATTTTTTAGAAACAGTCAAAAATGTCCACGTTAGTCGTTCAGTCCAACTTTTCGGGAATAAGGTCATATTTTCCTTTTTCGGAGGCCTTTTACTCCCAAATGCAACATCGGATTTGTACCAGAGTGGTTGGGTTGGATAGCCGGGGGGCTGTAGTTACCCCCAGACCTATGGCCCTCACGGGATAACGAAGGTCTATTTTTTAATAATTTTTTTAAAAACGGTCGAAAATGTCCACATGTTAGGCGTTCAGTCCAACTTTTCGGGAATAAGGTCCTCTTTTCCCATTTCAGGGGCGTTTTATTCCCAAATGCAACATCGGATTCGAAACGACAGTGATCGGGTTGGATAGCCGGAGGGCTATAGTTACCCCCAGACCTCCCGGCCAACTTGTCAGAAATCAGGTCAACATGCCAGTTTTCAGAGGACTTTTATTTCAAAGTTCAACATCGGATCCGGACGAGGGTGGTCTGGATAAAGAGT